CCCACATGCAACTGGACCCTCCGGGTTCGCTGTTTCCGAGCATCCCTAAACATAGCCCTAGCCGGCATCGAAAAAAATGAAAAACCGGGCCCCAGAAAACGCGTTGCAAGCCCCTTTGGACCATCCAAAAGTGTCACCAAAGGAAGGCTTTGGGTACAAATGAACTCCCCAGGGGAGCCTTTACGCAGCCCCACATGCAACTGGACCCTCCGGGTTCGCTGTTTCCGAGCATCCCTAAATATATCCCTAGCCGGCATGGGAGAAGACTGAAAAACCGGGCCCCACAAAACGTGTTGCAAGCCCCTTTGGACCATCCAAAAGTGCCCCCAAAGGAAGTCTTTGGGTACAAGTGAACTCCCCAGGGGAGCCTTTACGCAGCCCCACATGCAACTGGACCCTCCGGGTTCGCTGTTCCTGAGCAAACCTAAACGTAGCCCTAGCCATCATCGGAGACGACTGAAAAATCAGGCCCCAGGTAATGCGTTCCGAGCCCCTTTGGACCATCCAAAAGTGCCCCCAAAGGAAGGCTTTGGGTAGAAGTGAACTCCCCAGGGGAGACTTTACGCAGCCCCATATGCAACTGGTCCATTCGCGTGCGATTTTTCCGAGAAACCTTAAATATATCCCTAGCCAGCATGGGAGAAGACTGAAAAACCGGGCCCCAGAAAACGCGTTGCAAGCCCCTTTGGACCATCCCAAAGTGTCACCAAAGGAAGGCTTTGGGTAGAAGTGAACTCCCCAGGGGAGCATTTACGCAGCCCCACATGCAACTGGACCCTCCGGGTTCGATGTTTCCGAGCAACACTAAATATATCCCTAGCCGGCATGGGAGAAGACTGAAAAACCGGGCCCCATTAAACGCGTTTCAAGACCCTTTGGACCATCCAAAAGTGCCAACAAAGGAAGGCTTTGGGTACAAGAGAACTCCTCAGTTGAGCCTTTACGCAGCCCAAATGCAACTGGACCCTCCGGGTTCGCTGTTCCTGAGCAAACCTAAACGTAGCCCTAGCCGTCATCGGAGAAGACTGAAAACCCAGGCCCCAGAAAACGCGTTTCAAGCCCCTTTGGACCATCCAAAAGTGCCCCCAAAGGAAGGCTTTGGGTACAAGAGAACTCCCCAGGGGAGCCTTTACGCAGCCCCACATGCAACTGGACCCTCCGGGTTCGCTGTTTCCGAGCAACCCTAAATAATCCCTAGCCGGCATCGAGGACGACTGAAAAATCAGGCCCCAGGAAATGCGTTCCGAGCCCTTTCGCCCATCCAAAGTGTCACCAAAGGAAGGCTTTGGGTACAAGAGAACTCCCCAGGGGAGCCTTTACGCAGCCCCACATGACAACTGGACCCTCCGGGTTCGCTGTTCCTGAGCAAACCTAAACATAGCCCTAGCCAGCATCTGAGACGACTGAAAAATCAGGCCCCATGAAATGCGTTTCAAGACCCTTTGGACCATCCAAAAGTGCCACCAAAGGAAGGCTTTGGGTACAAGTAGAACTCCCCAGGGGAGCCTTTACGCAGCCCCACATGCAACTGGACCCTCCGGGTTCGATGTTTCCGAGCATCCCTAAACATAGCCCTAGCCGTCATCGAAGAGGACTGAAAAATAAGGCCCCAGGAAATGCGTTGCGAGCCCTTTTCGCCCATCCAAAAGTGCCACCAAAGGAAGGCTTTGGGTACAAGAGAACTCCCCAGGGGAGCCTTTACACAGCCCCACATGCAACTGGACCCTCCGGGTTCGCTGTTCCTGAGCAAAATTTAAGGTAGCCCTAGCCGTCATCGGAGACGAGTGAAAACTCAGGCCCCAGGAAATGCATTCCGAGCCCCTTTGGACCATCCAAAAGTGCCCCCAAAGGAAGGCTTTGGATACAAGTGAACTCCCCAGGGGAGCCTTTACGCAGCCCCACATGCAACTGGACCCTCCGGGTTCGATTTTTCCGAGCATCCCTAAGTATATCCCTAGCTGGCATGGGAGAAGACTGAAAAACCGGGCCCCAGAAAACGCGTTGCAAGCCCCTTTGGACCATCCAAAAGTGTCACCAAAGAAGGCTTTGGGTACAAGTGAACTCCCCAGGGGAGCCTTTATGCAGCCCCACATGCAACTGGACCCTCCGGGTTCGCTGTTCCTCAGCAAACCTAAACGTAGCCCTAGCCGTCACTGGAGACGAGTGAAAAATCAGGCCCCAGGAAATGCGTTGCGAGCCCTTTTCGCCCATCCTAAAGTGCCCCCAAAGGAAGGCTTTGGGTACAATGTGAACTCCCCAGGGGAGCCTTTACGCAGCCCCACATGACACTGGACCCTCCGGGTTCACTGTTCCTCAGCATACCTAAACGTAGCCCTAGCCGTCATCGGAGACGAGTGAAAAATCAGGCCCCAGGAAATGCGTTGCGAGCCCTTTTCGCCCATCCTAAAGTGCCCCCAAAGGAAGGCTTTGGGTACAAGAGGACTCCCCAGGGGAGCCTTTACGCAGCCCCACATGCACTGGACCCTCCGGGTTCGCTGTTTCCGAGCATCCCTAAACATAACCCTAGCCGGCATCGAAGACGAATGAAAAATCAGGCCCCAGGAAATGCGTTGCGAGCCCTTTTCGGCCCATCCAAAATTGCCCCCAAAGGAAGGCTTTGGGTACATGTGAACTCCCCAGGGGAGCCTTTACGCAGCCCCACATGCAACTGGACTCTCCGGGTTCGCTGTTCCTCGAGCAAACCTAAACGTAACCCTAGCCGTCACCGGAGACGAGTGAAAAATCAGGTCCCCAGGAAATGCGTTGCGAGCCCTTTTCGCCCATCCAAAAGTGTCACCAAAGGAAGGCTTTGGGTACAAGTGAACTCCCCAGGGGAGCCTTTACGCAGCCCCACATGACACTGGACCCTCCTGGGTTCGCTGTTCCTGAGCAAGCCGAAACATCGCCCATGGGAGACCGAACCCTAACCCTAACCCGAACCCAAAGCCTAACCCGAACCCTGGATCTAACCCTAACCTCACAGCCACAGCGTACCTGCTGCAATGCCTCTCTCTTCCCAGCTCCAGTTCTTCAGCTGCTCACCAGCTCTAACTCAGAATCTTCGCTCACAGCGCCACGGCAAACTCTGCCCGGGCCACACAACACACTGCACAAGCTACGTTGCTTAAGACACACAAAAGCTGGAACGTTCCAGCCCAACAATTAGTCACGTCGCACAGGAAGGATGCCGCGTACTCCTAGAAACCAAACCTTCCAGTCCTGAGCAGCTCCCCACCTCCTCCTGCCACCCACGCTCAGCACACACACTATGCGCCCCTCAAAAAACCAAAAAGTTAGAACATAAACAGACAGAAAAAAAAAACAACTGAGCTCCATAAATGCCAAAAAGACATGCACACACAGCAGCCCCGGCAGGGGTAATCACAGACTCACCCTTGGCAGATGAAAGAGGAGACTCTGATACAACCCTGCTCAGTCTCTTGGCAATGCTGCGTATCTACGCTGCCGAGCCACAGGTACCATGCAATCAAGCTGCTTTTAGTCCTCAGGAGAGTTACACAGGTGGGTTTATACATTTAGAGATTGAAGTATAGGTCAAAACCAGAAGAGTGTCCCACCACCCCAAAAAACAGTGAGCCAGCGGCCTCTGCTAAATAGAGCTCTATTAAGTGAATTCCAAGCACTTAAAATCCAGAAATCCATAGACTTTGACCCACCTAAAGAACCCTGCAACTGACTGAAGGAAACACAAAGCACTTACCCCAAAGAGCAGCCCAGGCAGAAGGAGCTCTCTGGTGGCATGCCTGGGGCTCATATACCTTTTGCCCCCGCCCCCAGCACCCAAACCCAATCACCTGGGAAAGGGGAGGGGCAAAGCACAGGACATCAGAAAGAGGAGCAGCAGCTGTGCTTTATTTACTTATTTTTATGGCTTAGCTCAACAGCACGCAGAGTGCAGGCAGGAGACCTGGGGTGTTTCTAGAAGCAAAAATCCCCTTTCGCTTTTGCTGCAGCTTTGAATATTGAACTGACAATATCACCAAGCTAGTAACTGAAACTTTCTCAACTGGAATTAGTTTCAACAGGCTCATCCACAGAATCACAGAATTTCTAGGTTGGAAGAGACCTCAAGATTATCGAGTCCAACCTCTGACCTAACACTAACAGTCCCCACTAAACCATATCCCTAAGCTCTACATCTAAACGTCTTTTGAAGACTTCCAGGGATGGTGACTCCACCACTTCCCTGGGCAGCCCGTTCCAGTGCCTAACAACCCTTTCGGTAAAGAAATTCTTCCTAACGTCTAACCTAAAACTCCCCTGGCACAATTTTAGCCCATTCCCCCCCGTCCTGTCACCAGGCATGTGGGAGAACAGACCAACCCCCACCTCGCTACAGCCTCCTTTAAGGTATCTGTAGAGAGCAATAAGGTCACCCCTGAGCCTCCTCTTCTCCAGGCTGAACAAGCCCAGCTCTCTCAGCCGATCCTTGTAGGACTTGTTCTCCAGGCCCCTCACCAGCTTCGTTGCCCTTCTTTGGACCCGCTCAAGCACCTCGATGTCCTTCTTGTAGCGAGGGGCCCAAAACTGAACACAGTACTCGAGGTGCGGCCTCACCAGAGCCGAGTACAGGGGGACAATCACCTCCCTAGCCCTGCTGGTCACACTGTTTCTGATACAAGCCAGGATGCCGTTGGCCTTCTTGGCCACCTGAGCACACTGCTGGCTCATATTCAGCCGACTGTCCACCATCACTCCCAGGTCCTTCTCTGCCTGGCAGCTCTCCAACCACTCCTCTCTGTATGACCATCCCCAGCTGTCTGTATGTCCGTCCCCATCGGAACGCATTTCCTGGGGCCTGATTTTTCATTCGTCTCCGATGACGGCTAGGGCTACGTTTAGGTTTGCTCAGGAACAGCGAACCCGGAGAGTCCAGTTGCATGTGGGGCTGCGTAAAGGCTCCCCCGGGGAGTTCACTTGTACCCAAAGCCTTCCCAGCCCCTTTCGCCCATCAAAAACCAACGCAAAGGCACCGAGAGGAAGGTTCTAGAAACTTTATTTTGTTCTGGGGGGGTCGGGGTCTGGTGAGGGGCAGGGGAGGGGCTCTGGGGGGGCTCTGAGGTTGGGGGGGGTCCCGGCGGGGTCACGGGGCGGCGTCGGGGGGGCAGTCGATGAAGTCAGCCAGCATGGAGGCCGTGGGGTCGGGGGCCTGGGGGCACAGCGGGGTCAGCGCCTGACCCCCGACCCCTGACCCCACCCCATCCCACCCCCACCACCCCCTTCTCACCCCAAGTGCCCCAAAACCACCCCATCTTGCCCCAAACCACCTCAATCACACCCAAAACTGTCCCAAACCCGCTCGATCTTGCCCCAAACCACCCCAGTTCCACACAAACTGCCCCAAAACCCCCCAATCTTGCCCCAAACCCCCCCACACTCACCTCTCCCTTGTCCGGGGGGGGCGGGGGCTCTTCCTCCTCCTCCTCCTCCTCTCCCTGCAGCTGGGGGGGGTCCGGGGGGGTGCGGGGGGGGGGTTCGGGGCTGCCCCCGTCCCCCTTGGGCCCCTCGGGGGGGGGCGGCTCCGGAGGGCGAGGGGGGGGCGCAGCTTCCAGGGCTGGGGGGGGACCCTCGGGGGGGGGCGGGGGGGGCTGGGGGCTACCCGGGGGGAGCTGCCCTTCCTCCCCCCCATCATCTCCTCCTCCTCCTCCTGATTCGCTGGGGGCTGCTGCCCCCCCCCCTTCCTTCTCCTCCTCCTCGCAGGGGGGGGGCTGTCCTTCATCCACCTCCATCAGCAGGGTGCCTGTCTCCTCTTCCTCCTCCTCCTCCTCCTCCTCCGGCAGCGTCACCGCGGGGGGGGCCGTGGGGGGGGCGCCTTCCTCAGCCTTGCCGCCTTCCTCCTCCTCCTCGTCCTCCTCCTCCGAGAGGCCTTCCTCCTCCTCGAACTCCTCCTCCTCCTCCTCGAAGTCCTCCTCGCCCAGCTCTTCCTCCAGCTCGTCCTCCTCCTCCTCGAAGAACTCTTCCTCCTCTTAGGAACCCCGAAGAACTCTTCCTCCTCTTAGGAACCCCGAACCCGAACCCTAACCCCCTAACCATAACCCTAAGCCCTAACCCTAACCCTAACCCTAATGAACCCTAAGCCTAACCCTATCCCTAACCCTAACACTAACCTTAACCCTAACCCTAAACCTAACTCCCTGACCATAACCCTAACCCAAACCCTAACCCCAAACCATAACCCCTAACCCTAACCCTACACCCCTAACACTACCCCTAACCCCCTAACGATAACCCTAGCCCTAACCCTAACGAAACCTAACCCTAAATCAAAACCCTAACCCTAACCCTAACCCCCCGACAACCGCACCCCGCACACTTGGTACCCCCCTCATTTTGGTTCCCCCCACCCCGTTGTGCCTTGCAAATGCGTCCCCCCGGCAACCGCACCCGCACACTTGGTTCCCCCCTCATTTTGGTTCCCCACCGGTGCGCCCCGCAAATGCGTCCCCCCGGCAAGCGCACCCCGCACACGTGGTTCCCCCCTCATTTTGGTTCCCCCCCACCCCGCGGGTGCGCCCCGCAAATGCGTCCCCCCGGAAACTGCAGCCCGCACACTTGGTTCCCCGCTCATTTTGCCCCCCCCCCCCCCTCACCTTGGGGTCCCCCCAAGCCCCATGGACCCCCCCCCGGTGAGCCCCGCAAATGCCGCTGACCCGCTAAAATGTGTCGGGCGGCGTTGCGCTTAAATGTGTCCAGGCAGTGCCGCGCTAAAATGTGTCCGGGCAGCGTTGCGCTTAAATGTGTCCGGGCGGTGCCGAACCCGAACCCTAACCCGAACCAGCACCCGAACCCGAACCCGGACCCTAACCCGATCCCTGACCCTAACCCTAACTCGAACCCGAACCCTAAACCTAACCCGAAACCGAACCCTAACAGTAACCCAAACACGAACCTGAACACGACCCCGAAACCAAACACAAACCCGAACCCGAACCCTAACCCGAACACAAACCCAAACCCGAACCCTAAGCCGAACCCTAACCGAAACCCTAACTCGAACCCAAACCCGAAACCTAACCCGAACCCGAACCCTAACCCTAACGCTAACGCTAACGCTAACCCTAACCCCTAACCCCAACAACACTCACCCTCACCCTCAACCTCACCCTCACCCTAATGCACCTTGACACTCCGTGTACGCTACTTCACATTAAGATTAAATATAGGCCTAGCCGGCATGGGAGAAGACTAAAAAAACGGGCCCCAGAAAACGCGTTGCGAGCCCCTTTCGCCCATCCAAAAGTGCCCCCAAAGGAAGGCTTTGGGCACATCTGAACTCCCCAGGGGAGCCTTTACGCAGCCCCACATGCACCTTGACACACCGTGTACGCTCTTTCACATTAAGGTTAAATATATCCCTAGCCGGAATGGGAGCAGATTGAAAAACCGGGCCCCAGAAAACGCGTTGCAAGCCCCTTTCGCCCATCCAAAAGTGCCCCCAAAGGAAGGCTTTGGGTACAAGTGAACTCCCCAGGGGAGCCTTTACGCAGCCCCACATGCAACTGGACCCTCCGGGTTCGCTGTTCCTGAGCAAACCTAAACGTAGCCCTAGCCGTCATCGGAGATGAGTGAAAAATCAGGCCCCAGGAAATGCGTTGCGAGCCCCTTTGGACCATCCAAAAGTGCCCCCAAAGGAAGGCTTTGGGTACAAGTGAACTCCCCAGGGGAGCCTTTACGCAGCCCCACATGCAACTGCACCCTCCGGGTTCGCTGTTTCCGAGCAACCCTAAATATATCCCTAGCCGGCATGGGAGAAGACTGAAAAACCGGGCCCCGGAAAACGCGTTGCAAGCCCCTTTGGACCATCCAAAAGTGTCACCAAAGGAAGGCTTTGGGAACAAGAGAACTCCAGAGGGGAGCCTTTACGCAGCCCCACATGCAACTGGACCCTCCGGGTTCGCTGTTTCCGAGCATCCCTAAACATAGCCCTAGCCGGCATCGAAGACGACTGAAAAATCAGGCCCCAGGAAAGGTGTTGCGAGCCCCTTTTCGCCATTTCAAAAGTGCCCCTAAAGGAAGGCTTTGGGTACAAGTGAAATCCCCAGGGGAGCCTTTATGCAGCCCCACATGCAACAGGACACTTCGGGTTCGATTTTTCTGAGCAACCCTAAATATATCCCTAGCCGGCATGGGAGAAGACTGAAAAACCGAGCACCAGAAAACGCACTGCAAGCCCCATTGGACCATCCAAAAGTGTCACCAAAGAAAGGCTTTGGGTACATCTGAAGTTCCCAGAGGGGGCTTTACGCAGCACCATATACAACTGGACCCTCCGGGTTTGCTGTTTCCTGAGCATCCCTAAACGTAGCCCTAGCCGTCATCGTAGACGAGTGAAAAATCAGGCCCCAGGAAATGCGTTGCGAGCCCCTTTGGACCATCCAAAAGTGCCCCCAAAGGAAGGCTTTGGATACAAGTGAACTCCCCAGGGGAGCCTTTACGCAGCCCCACATGCAACTGGACCCTCCGGGTTCGCTGTTTCCGAGCAACCCTGAATATATCCCTAGCCAGCATGGGAGAAGACTGAAAAACCGGGCGCAGAAAACGCGTTAAAAGCCCCTTTGGACCATCCAAAAGTGCCCCCAAAGGAAGGCTTTGGGTACAAGAGAACTCCCCAGGGGAGCCTTTACGCAGCCCCACATGCAACTGGACCCTCCGGGTTCGCTGTTTCCGAGCATCCCTAAACGTAACCCTAGCCGTCATCGGAGATGAGTGAAAAATCAGGCCCCAGGAAATGCGTTGCGAGCCCCTTTGGACCATCCAAAAGTGCCCCCAAAGGAAGGCTTTGGGTACAAGTGAACTCCCCAGGGGAGCCTTTACGCAGCCCCACATACAACTGAACCCTCCGGGTTCGCTGTTTCCGAGCAACCCTAAATATATCCCTAGCCGGCATGGGAGAAGACTGAAAAACCGGGCCCCGGAAAACGCGTTGCAAGCCCCTTTGGACCATCCAAAAGTGTCACCAAAGGAAGGCTTTGGGAACAAGAGAACTCCAGAGGGGAGCCTTTACGCAGCCCCACATGCAACTGGACCCTCCGGGTTCGCTGGTTCCGAGCATCCCTAAACATAGCCCTAGCCGGCATCGAAGACGACTGAAAAATCAGGCCCCAGGAAAGGTGTTGCGAGCCCCTTTTCGCCATTTCAAAAGTGCCCCTAAAGGAAGGCTTTGGGTACAAGTGAACTCCCCAGGGGAGCCTTTACGCAGCCCCACATGCAACTGGACCCTCCGGGTTCGCTGTTCCTGAGCAACCCTAAATATAGCCCTAGCCGTCATCGGAGACGACTGAAAAATCAGGCCCCAGGAAATGCGTTCCGAGCCCCTTTGGACCATCCAAAAGTGCCCCAAAGGAAGGCTTTGGGTACAAGTGAACTCCCCAGGGGAGCCTTTACGCAGCCCCACATGCAACTGGACCCTCCGGGTTCGCTGTTCCTGAGCAATCCTAAACGTAGCCCTAGCCGTCATCGGAGACGAGTGAAAAATCAGGCCCCAGGAAATGCGTTGCGAGCCCTTTTCGACCATCCAAAAGTGCCCCCAAAGGAAGGCTTTGGGTACAAGTGAACTCCCCAGGGGAGCCTTTACGCAGCCCCACATGCAACTGGACCCTCCGGGTTCGCTGTTTCCGAGCAACCTAAACGTATCCCTAGCCGGCATCGGAGAAGACGTGAAAAACCGGGCCCCAGAAAACGCGTTAAAAGCCCCTTTGGACCATCCAAAAGTGCCCCCAAAGGAAGGCTTTGGGTACAAGAGAACTCCCCAGGGGAGCCTTTACGCAGCCCCACATGCAACTGGACCCTCCGGGTTCGCTGTTTCCGAGCAACCCTAATATATCCCTAGCCGCATGGGAGAAGACTGAAAAACCGGGCCCCAGAAAACGCGTTAAAAGCCCCTTTGGACCATCCAAAAGTGTCACCAAAGGAAGGCATTGGGTACAAGTGAACTCCCCAGGGAAGCCTTTACGCAGCCCCACATGCAACTGGACCCTCCGGGTTCACTGTTCCTGAGCAAACCTAAACCTAGCCCTAGCCGTCATCGGAGACAACTGAAAAATAAGGCCCCAGGAAATGCATTCTGAGCCCTTTTCGCCCATCCAAAAGTGCCCCCAAAGGAAGGCTTTGGGTACAAGTGAACTCCCCAGGGGAGCCTTTACGCAGCCCCACATGCAACTGCACCCTCCGGGTTCGCTGTTCCTGAGCAAACCTAAACCTATCCCTAGCCGTCATCGGAGACAAGTGAAAAATCAGCCCCCAGGAAATGTGTTCCGAGCCGTTTTCGCCCATCCAAATGTGCCCCTAAAGGAAGGCTTTGGGTACAAGTGGACTCCCCAGGGGAGCCTTTACACAGTCCCACATGCAACTGGACCCTCCGGGTTCGCTGTTTCCGAGCATCCCTAAACATAGCCCTAGCCGGCATCGGAGACGACTGAAAAAACGGGCCCCATAAAAC